GGAGAGACAACATACTGTTTCAGTGGCCTCTCTCCTGATGCCTTATACAATGCCACAGTCTTTGCCCAGACACCCAACCTTGAAGGACCTGGAGTTAGCGTGAAAGAACGAACCTGTGAGTATTGATCTACAGGTGTCCTTGGTGCTAAAATCATGAGAAACCAAGGGAACAGAAGACTGTCTGTGCAGTTAGAACTGGCCATGTATCTTTGCACAGTGATATATTTATTGTAATATATATTTAATATATTTACCTTGACATTATAAACAACATTATACCAGAACTGTATTAACTTACAGCACTAATTAGACCAATAAAAGTCTGAAGAATCTAGACTTTTCCAGTGTAAAACACCAAACAGTACAGCTTATAATTCACTACTTATATTGTAAGTGACAGGGGTTACCATTTATTTCCAACGTAAACTGTCCTAGGAATTATATGTTACTTTAAGACTATGTTACAGAACCTCACATTTCTTATATTTTCTCTGTAGGAAAGGTCTTCATTCTCGATAAGACTTAAATCTCAGATGCTACTTTTTTCTGTGTTTAAGTATAGAATTTGAGAAATCATTGATTAGAAGGAAAAAGACAAAATTACTTTTGGTTAACAATTAGTTAGAAAGTGCTTCTCCATAGACAGTTGAATATACAACCTTTCTTTTCTTATATTCTCGCAGTGGTTAAACCAACTGAAGCTCCAACTCTGCCCCCGACCCCACCTCCTCCTCCCACTATCCCCCCAGCTTGGGAAGGTGAGTAAACAAAACCCATAAAGGCACATTTGTGATCCAAAGTTTAGAAATCTGCTTTTGTCATTGACTCTTAACAGCCTATCAACAAATAGTCCTAAATTAGTTAATGATGTGACATGAACAATCTGTATTCTAGTATTTGCTATGTACCTGTAGTGCATGCGACAAGAATACTTTAAAAACCACCATTTGGTAAATATATTTTCTGACCATACAGCCAGGTAGAAAACACCCTGCGTGTGACAAAATATCAATGATCCAAGATAAAACTCGCATGCTTTTGAAACTCTGCAATTGAAGTGGTCAAGTCAGATATACAGTACAGTAGGTCAGATCAATATCCAGTTGACTGCATGAGGTGACCAGGCCCACAAATTCCTGTCTCGGTACATTAAGAAAGCTGCATTTACTTAGCCATGGAGACTACATGTAATGTATGTTAGCCTTGAAGGTGTTTCTACAAATCCTAAGAATTATTTATACAATTTCTGTGCCAAGTGCAATAATGGGTTCTCTCAAAAGAAATGATTTTCCTTGTGTGTTATAGGTTAACGTGCCTCAGCATATGTTAACATACATTGGAGATCAGAAACAAAATGTTGTGCGCTATTCAGCAAGCATTTTGTTCTCTTTTTTCCGAGCAAAATCTATTAAAATGCTTTTATTTTCTAGACCTTCTGGTCTCCAAATGTTGTTTCTGAGCAATTCTGATCAATTAAACTGATAAATGCAGAGCATAGAGTGGGTTTGCTTGTGAAATTTCAAGAGGCAGGGGAGTGCTGTGTGTGATTATCATGGCTTTGTTAATGTAACTGCTCAGCCCAAGCCAGCTGTGCCATCTTTTTTTGTGAATTTGGTTGTTGTTCTGCTCTAGTTTGCAAAGGTGCCAAGGCTGATCTTGTGTTCTTGATTGATGGATCATGGAGTATTGGTGATGACAACTTCAATAAAGTCCTGCAGTTTGTTTTCAACACCATTGGAGCCTTTGATGTGATCAGCCCAGCTGGAATGCAGGTGTGTCTCTCTGTTCAGGAGTGGGGGGGGGAATCTGTCTTCTGTTCTGCTTATAAAACAATATGGTGCAACTTAAAAGAGCATTAAAGAGCACCAGACATACTAATGATTGGTATTTTCAATGGAATTGTCTCAACTCACACTTTGCTTAACCTCTTTACACAGGTTTCCTTCGTGCAGTACAGTGATGATGCAAAGACTGAATTTAAACTTAACACTTATAATAACAAGGGAATGGTTTTGTCAGCCCTTCAGCTTGTCCGTTACAGAGGAGGCAATACCAGAACAGGTACAACACATGCTTATTACTTCTTTTTCACGGTAACTAAAAATATTATCAAAAGGAAAATCTCATTTAAGCTTCATATGTTTTCTTACCATTGATGAATATTTAGAAGATCTTGGGTTAATGTCTTAAAAATAGTTTCAGAATTAGTCAAATTGAAAACTTTTTAATCAATTAAGACATTTTGGCTTGAAATCTGGTTCAGTCCCACTTTTGCTTTTATTTTGCACACAGTGCAAACCTCACTCAATCATCAGACTTGTACTACATTTTTTTGGATAAAACAAAAACAGTGGTAGACTTGTGAAAAGTAAAGCAAGTGTAACAGTATGAAATTAAAAGTGTCCACCTATACAGGATATTATAGCTAGAAGTATTGACCTTTTCCTGACTTCATCCTATTCCCTTTTCAAAATTCACAGCTTTTATTTTCTTTCATTTTTAAACCTGTGACTTTTGCTTTCATTTCGTTCCTTAGGTGTAGCTCTGAAATACATTGCTGAGAAAGTTCTAACTCCAGAGAATGGAATGAGAAAGAATGTACCAAAGGTGCTAGTCGTTGTCACAGATGGCCGCTCACAAGATGAAGTTAAGAAGACTGCCCCTGCATTACAGCATGCAGGTAAGTAGAAAAAGTACTTCCTGGAAATATTAAAGAGAAAATTTAGTAGATACAGTGCATACAATTAAGAAGAGTCTTTGAAAGCTGTGAAACAGTTTTTCAGATGTTATTTTTATAGCCTTCACTTTTACCAAGAATAGGAATGCGTTCCTTGAATTGGTTGTTTTCAGTTGAGTAGTAATTGTTTGGCATTGAGATAGATCCTTTTAGCACAAACAGAGGGTGCAACAGAATCTCACAGATGTTCCCAACTGGCACTGATTTCATTGAAGGAATTGCTTCCAGTCTCGAAAATAGGTGTCTTGGATGACTTGTATATTCTTCATATTCGTAAGAGTTCGTACGGACAAAATGGCCGTTCAGATGTAGAAAATTAGCTAAATACAAATGATACTGCTTCCACATTTGAGTGAAATGCGTGTGTTTTCATTACAGGGTACAGTGTTTTCGTTATTGGTGTTGCGGATGTGGATTATGCAGAGTTACAGAACATCGGTAGTAAGCCAAGCGACCGTCATGTCTTCGTGGTGGATGACTTTGACGCCTTTGAGAAGATTCAGGATAATCTTATTACTTTCATCTGTGAGACGGCAACCTCAAGTAAGCTCTCTTTTTCATACTTCGAGTAAGGTTTTTCCCTTTTGATATGATGTTACCCATACGCAGATGTGGTGCAAACTATGCCATTTAGAACACCCAGCTCTTAAATCTAAACGTATTTGTGTTGTAGGTACCTGCAAAACAAAAACTACTTTCATAACCAGCTTAAAATTGTTTCTTTATTTACATTTTGAAAACAAAAATGCGTTTCTTGATTTTTCAGCTTGTCCTTTGATATATCTCAATGGATACACCTCACCCGGTAAGACTATTACTTCTTATTAATCATCTCAAGTGTGAAGTGTAACAGTGTAGCTGTCATTATGAGGGAGTTTTGGTTTGGGCCTATAATTGCACAACTGTCATTATGATAGAGTTTTGGTTGGTTGGTTGAGGGATCTGGAGACCAGATTAAGGTTTAGTGGTTTAAAGGTTATGGTTATCGTTTAGGGTTAAGAACATAACTTCCCACAGGAGACAGTAGAGTTCGGTGTTACCGAAGTTTTGATTGTCCAGACCTGGAGTTAGCGGAACTCTAGGTTGTGGTTGGCAGATTTTGAGTTATGGTTTTTAAGAGCAGAGAAGAGCCAGGATTGTACAAGAAACATCCAACCTCAGGTCAGCTAAAACTCCTTTTTGGAGGAAAGAACTGTGGGATGTGACTAGCCAGGGAAAAGATGCCATGGAGCTCACGCCACAAACTCGACTATAATGAAATAAATGAAATGGGGATAAATACGTTTCTGCATTGATTTATCTCGCTTATGAAATTTTATAGGTTTCCGAATGCTTGAGGCATTCAACTTGACAGAGAAGACTTTTGCCTCTGTAAAAGGAGTATCTATGGAGCCAGGATCTTTCAACAGTTTTATAGCCTACAGACTCCACAAAAATGCACACCTCACACAGCCAACAAAGTAAGTAAAAATAAGTAATTTTGGAATATTAGAGATTAATGTTTGGTGTAATATTGTTTAACGTCAGTAATTATTTTTAATGACTTTTCAAACCAAGAAAATTTCAATTCCCTGTGCTCACATTATCATGATTTTAGTCCTGGCTTGTTTATTATTTTAGATTGTACAATGCGAGCCAAAAACAGATTTTGATGTGACATTAAATTAATTAAAGTGCATTTGCTGCATATGAATCAATTTGTTCTTCCGTAGTGAGGTTAGAGAGGCACCTAAGAGGCACAAGATGCAATTTATTAGCTCTACTTAAATATTTTCAGGCTATATTTAGGTATGAGAAATGCTGGTGTTATGACTTCTTAGTGTAAACCACACTTAGAATATTTTTTCATAATGGTCCTTAAGTTTATACATGAGACTACGAGTACTAGGAAACATTTTTTTTACAGTTATTGCAAATCAGAAATATATCTCCAATAAGTGCATGTTCCTTAAGGTTATTTTAGTACCAGCAGTCATGGGAATGTTAATGACATGAATTAATGCATATTTTATTTACACAGTTGGTTGCACCATGAGATACATTTAAAATACATGCACTTATAAGATTTAAAACACATGCACTTATAAGAGAAGACACAAGACAAATCCAAGTACTTTAAGTGATGGAGTCTGCTTGTAAAATGATTTGATATTATCTTCATATGACTATCTGTAACTGTATCTGCTCATCGGTTGACGAGTTTAAAACCTTTCCTATTTTGTCTAGTCTTCCATAATTTACCCCTGTTTAAATCTTTCTTGACCTACCTACTTTAAGTGAGTGTAATGCGTCGAAATGCATCTAAATTCATGTGACCTGCCATAGTTTTCACCACAGTTCATAAAATATCTCACTATACAGTATGACCACACTTGTATTTTCTTCTTATAAAAATATCCTTCCCTTTAACGAGCTGTTACCTGTTAAAATATTAAATGACAGCAGAAATTCCTTTGAAAATGGATATAAATGCTGCAATAAAAAATCCATTTGGCCCATCAGGAGCTTTCAGTGGATTTGACAGACGTGTCTTGTTTTTTCACAGAGAGGTTCACCCAGAAGGGTTGCCACATGCTTACACCATCATCCTGACATTGCGTCTCCTCCCAGACTCACCTTCTGAAGCTTTCGACATCTGGCAGATTGCAGATAAAAGCAACAAACCTGAAGTTGGGATCACGATGGATCGTAAGGAACATTTTTTTTGGGATGGATAATAGGAGTAGCTGTCTAGCAGCTGTAGTTGAACTGAGGTTTTGCTGACTTTCCCATGATGAAGTGGCTTTAATAAGCTCCAGATCTCAGTACTGCATTGATCTTTTGATTATTACACAACAGCTTAGGCCTCAGAACAGAAACATAAATTTGAATACTACTGCTGTCACTAAAATTGAGATTTTTTGTTTTCTGCAGAGTTTACATTGTCTATCTGCTTGGCAGCATGTTCAATGTTCATTTCTGTGCTTTTCCCATCCAGGCTTTCTAGTTTATTAGCTTTGCGTGACATCTCCTTTAATGTATTGTTGAAGAGTTACATAAAATGCTTTTTCTTTCCTTTAGCTTCCAGCAGAACACTATCATTCTACAACAAGGATACTAGGGGAGAGATTCAGAAGGTGACATTTGACAATGATGAAGTTAAGAAGATCTTTCATGGAAGCTTCCACAAGGTACAGTAAATGATGTTTAATTTGCAGTTTCTGTGCAAATTATTTAGGGACTTTTATTTAAACCTTTCCCTAAAAAATAAGTAATTATCTTTGCTAAACTGTGTGCAAAGTTAAGAGTTCTGTGAAGTAATATTTTAACAAATTAAAATTCTGAACCTAGTGATATAGTATCAGCATTCAGAGACTGACGTTGTAATTAAACTGCAAATTACTATTTTAATGTCTGTTGGATCATGAAATCCATTGTTCAAAATATGCAATCCTAGTAATGAGCAGAAAAGAGAGGCACAGTCAACATAAGTTTCCCAGATGGAGATTTTGCTTCAGGAATTTCCTTGGCATCAATGAAAAAACATCTTTTAAATTAAAATTTTATGCTGTGTACATAGATTTTCAAAGGGATTTAATAAAATACCTAATAAAAGATAAGCTAATTTAAAGAAGTAAAAGGAGCTTTTTGTAGATGGCAGTGCAGATGAACACAACAACAGAACCTGTTCTTGAGCAGTGCCTTGTAGAGTACAAGGATGCTGTAGGGGGTCTTTGCCCTTAGACATACATGGAAGGTTAAGGTCTATAAATATGCTTGGTAACGTCTGAGTTTTGTGAAGGTAGTACGAATATCTTACATTCTCCAGGCTGTGTGATGAAATCCAAAAATGAGATTACAAGCACAGGTTAATTCATGATAAATTAAGTTTAATATTACAAAAAGTGTAAAATGTTGCATGATGGGAGCAAAATAGTTGTAAGAGTAAAACAAAAAGATGTTGGAGAAGTTGATAGATATCAGTGGGGAAAAAAGAGTTTTGTGTTGTAATATGTATACTTTTAGAGATGTAGACGTGGACCTGGAGACCTTTAGTATCTTCTGGGTTGGGTTCCAGACCTCAAGTTATTGAATACTTAAAACTAAATAGAAAGCAAGTTAATCAGGTCTTTCATCATTGATAAAATATACATTTAAAACTGGTAAGATTGAGATTCTTCAGAATCAGAGATAGTGGATTTGGAACAGCAATTTTCGGAAGACTAGATGTATTATCTTGAACCCCGGACAGTCTTGGAAAACCTGTAAAGGACTTTTAGAATTTGGCTGTTTTCTGTTTTTGGAATAATGTTTTGGATTCTGCGGACAATGTCTTCAGAAGAGCATTTAGATCTTTAAAAAATTGTTCATGGAACAATTCTAAAAGACAAAGATAGGTGGATAGGTTAAAAGCTTGTTCAGTTTGATTTTTGTACAATTAGTTGATTTCAATTTTATGTAACAAATCACATAAACGTTCAGTACTTTTCACTGTTTTTTTAATGAACAGTGTGGTCCACATTGCAGCTCTGGCATCTGGCACTGTTTTCCATCTGCCTTCAACATTGAACTAAAATATATTCTAGGTTAGTGTAATGTGGAACAGTGATTCTCAACCTAAACCAGTATAATGGACCCACCAATGAGTTTAAAACATATTTTCCTAGCTGTCATAGGATTTTCATCTTCAGGGAACAAGAAAAAATTCTATAGCATGCATAAGATGAATTTCTCCATAGAACTGGAAACTCAAGATGAAAGTCCACAGCACTTATAGTTGAAGCAGGATTTATGTTGTTCATTATGACTATAGCATTAGCATAAATTCTGGTTTTAGACGTATACATGAATTAAAGTAGAACAAAACCATAAACAATGCCAATGGTGTGCTAATCTAAACCATTATTTAAGGGTGAAAGATCACAAGAAATCATTATGCTGAAGTTATGCTGTGAAGATTTTATGCATTTTAAATCAAAAGGCTTCTTTCTGTTTTTGGATTTCACACTAAAAAAGTATTATTATTTTTGCTTAGGATGGCTACAATGAAAACTGTTGTTTAACTCACAATAGCAATGAATTTCTCATCTGGCTAGTGACCCTACAAACTGCATTTGCCTGTATATTCCAGCAGAAACCACCACAGATTAATGTATGATGCTGTTAAGGTCCTCTTATTGAGCAGGCACTTACAGAAGGCAGGGCATACAAGAAGTTCACTGGTGGCAGGAAGATGTTCAGGGACAATGTGATCCTTTCTTTCATTGAAGCATGCCATTGCCAAATAGGAAAATGTGCCCCATTGTGTATATTTTGCTGAGATGTGTGTGTTTTGTTTGAATAACATCACTTATGGGGTATGGGACTCACTTGACCTATGGCCTTGTGTGCAGTCAGTCCAGACATAATGTTATACCAGAACAAGCTAAATTATACACTGCCTTGTTCTTCTAATAATTTGTTTAGAATAAATAATGACATTATGCAACATAACAAGAAAGCAGTTTTTGGATTATCATATGTATCTGCCTTCTACTGCACGTTTTGCACAAATTAATACTTTAAATCACATTCTTTTTGAAGTGTATAAAATGATGAATCAGCTGTGTGATTCCTTATCTCTTTCTGAGGAAGCACAGCAGTGTTTTTGTGTAAATCATAACCCAGACAAGAATCACATTTCTGCTTTGAAGGTCTCACTTTATTGCAGTGCCAAAGTGTTTTAGGCCTTGTAGGAGTGTCAGACCAGCCTGCAATGTAATATCTAAGGAAGTCAGGTTTTGTTTTGTTTCACTTAAATCTAAAATGAGTGAGAAGGCTTAGGGTAAATCCAGTAGAATAATAAGATAAGAGTACAAGGGCACTTGTATGAAAATCGATTGCAATATCAAATGACAAAGTTTCAGAAGGCCGTCAGCTCTTTTATTAAGGCAGTGAAAAAGTTCATGAAAGGTAACTGACTGTAAACAAGAAAACAAATGACATAGTCCATGGGCAGTTATGTCCCCAACTTTCATGGGAACCAATAAGGTGCTTCAATGAGAATATTAAAAAAAATGGAAAAGCTGGCATGTTAGCTTGGAAAATGTTGGGTCACTGCTATAGCTATTAAACAATTGCATCAGAAAACCTTTGGAATGCCAGCTGAGCTTTTTTCTTCTTTATTTGGCTGTGTTGCAAGTTTGCTGCTCAGATTCTGGCTAAGGTCTGTATTGCTTTGCTTCTAGTAGTTGACCACAGGGAATTCTAGTAGTTGCTCAGAGGGAGGTAGTTCTTGTGGTTTGCCTCATAGCACAGTAGTTAATGTGGTGTATCAGCATGGTGCACTCATTTGTAGTTCAGTAAAGATACTCAGCAGGGCCTTGCCAGACACTCTGTAAGTGCCAGAATTCAGTGCAAATGCTTTGTTCCATATCAATGTCAGGAATGGCATTTGTACTTGGCTGCAGTAACATAATTGACCCTTCAATATGCAAAAGTTTTCCCTCACAGTAGGTTAAATGACAGCAACATTGTTTATCTTTAGGCTGTTGGATGCTTCATTTTTAATGGGATGATGCTGTCTTTCATTTACAACCATTGTTACTTTAAAATGTTGTTTAAAAGAATATCATTCATGTAAACACACGAAAGAAGAGACTTTGAATCCCATTTTATTTAAATGTGTTGCCTGTTTCAGTACTGAAGCTGCAGGTTTAAAAACAAATTTCAAAATTCATATTTTCCAGTCTGTAAGCTCCATGTTATCAGTTTTCATTAATCATATTAAGGAACAGAGTCTTATTTAAAAAAAAATATTAGCATATTGATGATTTGTATTGTTTTATATATGGTAAGACGGAATATCGTGTAGGTGCTTTTATGTATTTATTTGTTTATTCCATAAAATAACAATTTCTATTTTCCCTGGAATAGTTAAACAGTTAAAATAAAACCTTGATACTGTTGACTTGGCAGTACCAGAACATGTGGGAAAAAACTTAAGGATGAATTTAATAGTCCTACATAAATTCTCAGGGGATTAAAGGATTGTCAGTGTTTAGGACCTTTAAAGGAGACATAACGGGCACTTTGCTCATGAGCCAACATCTTCCTTTCAAAGGGACAAATACATGTGTGACTAGGTGGAGGCAGTTGTGTGCTAAATTAAACTCTGAAAACTGTTTTTAAGTTATGAAGTTGAAACTCCTTGCCATGTTAGGAACTCTAAATGCTCTGTGAAAGCAGCAAGAGTTGGTTTACCACTCATACTTTCCATTAGCAGTGTAGTTGGTGCCAGTATTCGTACAAACTAAGAAGCAATGGGAAAACCTGTTATATTAAACCTCCTTCGGTAACTGTGGAGTTTGTTCCTTTAACAAGTGTAATTGCAGACATACAGGTTTCTTTCATTGGTATTTAATTCTTATTTTCTATAGATAAATAGGCATCAAACCATTAAAAATCTATTTAAGTGTTTAAAGTGTTTATTTTCTCCTGTAAATCTGCAATAATCTTTATATATCAATAATCTGCCGAAAGTCGTTAAAATATGCATCACCACACATTGCTGGACAAAAGCAATCAAGGCAAGGGGTTCTGATTTACACAAAACACCAGCAAGAGACTTGAATAAAATGAACAAAAATGCTTCCACATATTTAACATATTCACAGTTCTCTGTTTTTGATAAGGACAAAATGCATATCTTATTCTTTTGTCCACAATTATTAACAATCACATGCTTTGCATGACAAAGACGTATTCAGAACAAGGCAGAGGTAATTGTTTAAGAGTGTTAATAATCTTTGTCAAGATTTGTCTTTTTAATTGAAAGTGGCACACAGTCATACTCCCACTAAACAGTCTTTTCAGTTATTTTTTCCCCAACTGAAAAATTGAATGGAGCTTGAAATGGTCTTGAGCATTTTTTTAATGTCTGATATCAGTTATTCTCCTGTGTTGTCTTTCAGTGCACTCTTAAATTAATGACATTCATTCTTAGGAGGTGAACTTGCAACCTTTTGATTTAACTGCAGTCAAAACTAGAGACATAGCAAAGCCTGGCCCCAAGGCCCAGCCAAGAATAATAAAATGGAGGCAGATAAAATCTGGAAATGGAAATGTGTCAACAGGGAATAGAACAAGACAGAATTAGAAATAAAATCATATGCAGAGTGTTTTGGTATACACATGGGTAAGAGAAACACCAACAAGTGTAAGACGAGACGTTTCAAACAAAATACTGTAGGTTCACCTACATTAGGGGTTTCCCTCAGTGGCAGAAAAATGATAAGATGTGTTTCTAGTCCAGGTTTCTGCGTGTACTGGGTGTTCCCCTTGCAATTTTTGTTTTGCTTTACAGCTTTTTTGCCGTCCGGGAAAGAGTTCCTCCTTGTTTTGCTGAATGAATCAGAACTCGGAAATGTAATGCTTATACAGACATTTGCAAAAAGCGAATCCCAAAACCTGTTGGCCCCTGAGTAACTCCTCCAGCTGCACTGCCTATTAGTCCGTCAGTGGTTTCCCCAGAGGTGGTGACAGTTAATACATTGTGTATCTATTTTTCCTAATATTGTCTTCATCTTTAATTTGCTTGGACTCTGAAATACAGTATGTGAGCATTGTTTTCCATTCTCTCTTGCAAAGGCTGATAGAGGTGCACCCTGACCGAAAATGTGCTTTTTTTCTCAGTCATGTGGTATACACATTTTCCTCCTTGCTTAACAAATATAGGATCCCATAGTGTGAGGCCAACACAGAAATGCAGCTGACAGGAGGCCATGCAGCATGGCACATCTTACTTGCTTGGAGGCTTGTTGCTTGTTGTGATCAGCATATTGAATGATCCCACAGGGCCAGTTTCAACCACATGACTCAGGAATTGGTTCCACATGCCCCTTTTGTAAAGACGTGTCTCCAGTTTTCTATCTTGAATGGCGTTGTTGCAGATCTTGAAGAAGTGTGGTGACTTGATCAATGTCTGTCAGTGTTTTCAATAGGTGAATCAAGTCCCCACATAACCTATGTTCCACGCTATAAATATTCAAGTTACAGACTGTCTGGGTATTTCCTTTAGGCCCTGCGGTAGTGTGGCTACTCTCCTTTGTACTGCCTTAGAGAAGCAATATCTTTCTTCTAGTGTGGTGACCAAAGCTGAACATGGCTGTGGTCTAATTCTGGCAGGGACTCTGTAGAGCTATACTAGTCACACATGTAATCTTTTGTACTTGCCACATTAAGTATAGATAGATAAGACTTTATTGATCCGGAAGCGAAATTGAGGTGTTACAATTATTTGTATAATTTGTCAGGTGTGTGTCCTGTCTTGAATTTTGCATATGCATGGTCTCTTATTATTGGCCAGAAGCACTCTAGTTAAACAGCTTTTGAAAACATTATTGCTAGGAAATTGAGACAATTTTAACAAGCAATTTGCTCTGATGCTTTATTTAGCATTATTATGCATTTTCTAATAGTTTTTCTAATAGAGGAGTTTTCACACCTCATTTCTTCTAATGTTTAGTGAAACACATTCATGAGTCTTAAACTCAGGAAATGTAAACCATTGGCATCTAATGTTCTGGAACAGTGGGGAGGGCAAACATTTCTCTGGTGACATGTTGTGATATACAAGAACTGGATTTTCGCATATGCATTATACTGTAGAAAAGATCATGTAATAAATTAAGTTTTCTAATATAAGTATAGCACACAGAATCAAGAATTGCTTCTTTAACATGAAGTTCAAATAGCTTTTAATTTCCGGAGTAAATCAAGTCATGGTTTGTGAAATTCATGAATTGTTGCTTTCACATTAGATTCAATAGATTGTTGTTTTCCAAGTAAATCAAATCATACTTTCTTAACAAGTTGCAGAAAGAAAAAAAAAGTTGTACTGGCTTGACGTTCCTAAGCCCCGAAATCTGCAATACTGTCACCTCAAACACATAATTAATTTAAATTCCGCACTAGCTAAACAAGCTGATGTTAACCAGGTAGAGTTTACAGTAGCTACTGTAAGCTAATACATTTTTATTGCTAGCTATCCTTATGTTGTTTGCCAGTTAATATTTCAGCTAACGGGACACATTTTGCCTGTGCTAATGAAATTATTACAAAGTAATACCATTTGGCTGAACCATGCCTCTCGTTGCTCTGCTCGCCTGTTAAGTTCACAAACTACGCCTAGTGCAATGTCAGATGGGAGGTAAGGCCCATAGTAAGTTTAGAAGTTTTCTCTTCTTCACCAACCCACCTAGATAATTACAGCAGGGGTCACAGTTCATGCTAGGGCAGAAGAGGGCTTGATTGCCAGTTGTTTACAAAGATTAGCTTTCATGGCTCATATATTTATCATGGTATTTATAATTTAAAAAAATAAGACAGAAACTTTGGATCATGGCAATAGTTAGAGGAAAATCTGGCACAGGAATATTTTTCACTCCCTCTGCTTTAAAAGTAGGTGTGTGGGTCATGGCTACATTTTCCCTAAGGCTAAAATGCCAAGTGTAAATTACTTATTAATGTTTATCGTCTTTGCAACTAATGTTGCCAAACCCTAGGGATACCTGTCCCTTTACTTCAGATGTAAGCCAAACATTGTGTTTTGTTACCAAGGAAATTGAATGTAACACCACCAGAGGTGGTTGCCAAAGCCTGTGGCTCATTCCATGAGTGCATTACTTGTTATATTGAAGAATGAAATCTCACAATCTCGCAGTTCTTTCCAAGTCTGTCTAACTGTAGCTTAAACTGCATGTTAGTAGGGGTAAGTGGGGTAGAATTGTATTATTGATGGCAAACCACAAAATGACTTCATTTGAATATGTGGTATGGCAGTTCTGGACAGGAATCAATAAAGTTCAATATACAGTATTAAGATCTCTTGGATCTTGGATTGCGGAAATATTTACACATTTATTGTTTACCACAGTCATACCCCTTACAGGCCACAAACAGGTTTGAGTAGCTAGTTTGAGTTTACACCAGTTCCATGTACAAAAGCTAGTACTTGAATTCTCCAGTTTGTCATTTCTGACTGATACTGAAGATAGAAAATGTATTAAATATAGTATTGCTCTGTTGTAAGTTACACATACATCAGTTTATATCTGTAAAGCCTTTACCCCAGGTCATCGTTAATGATTTTAAAATGTGGATATTCTTTTTTGATCTGCTTTCAGAATTGCATTTTCAGATAATGAAACCAGGAGGATACAGCACATCAGCATCAAGTCATTTCTTGTTCCTGTCTGCCAGACTAGATTTGCCAATGATTTGCGGAGTGACAGGATAAATGCATGAGAAATATTTTTGCTCTGGAAAAAACATTTATATCCTCCATCCAAAATCCTCTCTTTGCAGCTTCACATTGCTGTTTCCCCCAAGAATGTTAAATTGCATGTGGACTGCCAGGAAGTGGCGGAGAAAGAAATAAAGGAAGCAAACAACATCACGCTGGATGGCTATGAAGTTCTTGGCAAATTGGTGAAGTCCAGGGGTACACGAGGGGATTCGGCAACAGTGAGTAAAGGCCACATCACTATAAAATACAACAGCGGCTCAAACTCAGCATAAAAGTTGTATTTTATTACAGCAGTTAGTTTGTGTTTAAACGTTGATGTTTTCCCAGTTGGCATACAATTAAACTAAGACTATACAATTCAATTTATGTTAATTCTGGTGAGTTGTGACCCTGTAAACTTGGTGCAGGTCATTCATCATCCGAAGCCTTGTGGGTCCTCCATGTGAATTCGTGTTTTTGTTTTTAAGTACAAATGCTATATCAAAGACATATGTAACATCGGGTTTCGTTTTGTTGTGCAGTTCCAGCTCCAGATGTTCGATATTGTTTGCAGCTTAGGCTGGACGAGCAGAGACAGATGCTGTGACCTGCCGTCAACGGTAAGATTAACGTTGGCGTGTGTCCTTGCAGAGAAAATCATTGAGCTATCCACTCTGTTATCATCTGACAGACAGCCTGGTGTGGAAGTATTACTAAGCTATTGTGACTGTGTGAAGTGTCTGTCAGTGTTTCTGATTGAGATTTGAACGTCAGTGTAGAAGAACTATCCTTCTTATGCAGATATCCACAAATTAGATTCTCTGCCTTTTATTTTTTCATTTGCATGGAACTTTCCTGTGAGACTCGTGGAACTCACTGTATATTACTGTAAGGGCAGAATTATTCATTGATTTACACGCAGTGCAATGATTCCAAATTGTTTCCTTTAGTTTTTTAGTTTTGTCAAATTCTGATCAAATAGAAATTGAATGACTCCCGAAGCAGACCCCTTGCAATTATCTGTAGCGCTTTAATTATTTGACTTTTTTAGTTTTACAAAATATAAGCAGATGCACGACTGATGCAACTGCATAAAAGAAAACCGATATCCCTAAGGAGATACATTTTATGGAAAAATTAAAGCTTCTGCAATTAAAAGGTTTATTACAGGATGTTTCACAGGAACATATGGCCAGTAATTAATGTCTTCACTGTTGCCTTTTTCAAAACCTCAGTTAAAACTACACAACTTTTTTGTGTGTACAGGTGTCAGATTGTGTTTAAAACAAATCTGATTAAAAAAGTCTCTGGTGTTGTCTAATGTGACAGTTTCAGAAATATTTTCAGAGGTATTTTTCTATTGATATGCTATATGAAAGACATATGTAACATCGGGTTTCGTTTTGTTTGAATAATTTCAGTGTTTGACAGTGTGTAATGGCAAACCCCTTTGTGAATGGTGTGAATAAATTAATTAAGAAATAAGGACACTGTCAAAAGCATACTTATAGTTCTATTATTTAATGTATTTAGACATTTGGCTTTAATTTTGGAGTTTCACATTTGAAATCCCTTGTAATATATCCACTCACTCATACAGTAATAAATCCTGTCATTGTTGATAGCTTTCATAGTCAAATGTTCACTTTTAAGCCACTAGATTTTCTGATTAATCAAGCATTGCGTGCTCTCTTCAAAGAGGGTCCAATTTTAGCCCTTGAACAGATGAAATGAACAGATTTCAACCTGCCAGGGGAAAACACCACTTAATAAGTTAAGGTGATTTCTTCTGGTTGCATTTTTACCACTTAAAAGCCAAAAAAGCCAATCACCCTTATATGATTTTGCAGTGGATGTATATTCGCATGGTTCCTGCGTGATCTGTCTATAGAACCCATTGAGGGCTCAGTATATTTACATCATAAATAAATATCTTGCCCATCACATTTCAGTCTTGCACATTATTACATTTGCTTAATGGTATTGGAAAAGCACAATATCTTCAAGGATTTTTTTTTCCTGTGATTTTTTTTTCCTTTTCTGGAAAAAAAAGCAAATGTGGTTGCAGAGTTCCAACATTGCTCAAGTCAGTTGTGTAACTCGGTTTCAGATAATGCATCGTTTGAAAAATGCGCTGTCCTCTTGAATTTTCAGAGAGATGAGGCGAAATGCCCCGCTCTTCCTCATGCCTGCACATGTGCTCAGGATAGCATTGGTCCACCGGGGCCTCCTGGACCTACGGTAAACACATCTCCCCTCGTCTCACATCTGTACCCGTCTCATTGTTCAGTGAGCCTCTGTGCTGTTGTGGGAGAGGCGATTGCAACACCCTTGTTCGAAGTAAACATACAAGCACAGTCCTAATAAGTGTGATGTAAATTATGTGGAGGAGATTAAAGGTCAGTGTTTTCAGCATTCTTTGGTGAAGGCATGTTTAAAAATTAAGCTTGATTTGATACTGTACTGTTTTTTAACTGGTGAGATATTGTGACTTGAGAAGTGTGAGACTGTGGCGTGAATTTCTTCTTTTGCCTAATTGCTTAATTGAAATCCTTTTCCTTACAGGGCAGCCCTGGCAACAAAGGTCCTCGAGGTGAAAGAGGAGAAACGGGCCCAGCTGTAAGTTAACTTATTGACCCGGGACGGATACGTTAAACGGGGTTTTAGAATCGGGGGTTCTCAGTTTTGTCCATCCTCGACCCTTGCTTCCAGAATAGACTCGGGAAATCTGAGAAAGGAGTCCTTACGCTTTCCGGTCATGGATGGAAGATGATGTTGACTTTCCATTTCAATGATTGAATCCATGTTCAGTCAGTTTATCTAACAACAGTTTATTGTGGGCCACCATCAGTATATTTTATTCCTGCAAAAGAAGATACAGTAGGGTGTCAGAAAAGTAAGAAAGTGAAACAAAGTGCATTTCTTGCTGGGATATGTAATTCTCTCTCACATTCTGAACACATGATCCACTGAAGAAACGTGTAAATTCCTAACACAATTGAATCGAAACTTGTTTCATTTTGGCAGGGTCCAATTGGACCGCGGGGTGAACTAGGCTTACCTGGCCCTATGGGACTTCCAGGCCCGCAGGGACCCAACGGATTGTCCATTCCTGGAGAACCTGTAAGTCTTGTAGTAGAAAATCTCTTTTGGACGTTATCTACACATATGTGTTTAATTTCACCGTCTGCATTGTGTATTTCCATCAGTTATTATGTTACTTCAGTATCTCAAACTTTTGTCCTCAACAAAAGCCCCCTGTAGCTGAAGTTATGTTACCCATTTACAGTATTTCAAATTTACTGGCTAACTGTGGGTGACAGCCTGTCTTCCAGCATTCCTCCATGTCTGGATTATATAGGTGGGAGAGAGGTTTAAATCAGTTTAACAGAGGAACATGAATCATCTCTGCCATCTAAGACTCTGTGTTCTCAGAACGAGTTCAAAAACCCTGTGCAGTTGATAAATAAGGGAACGTGAACCTTCTGCTTCTGTGGAGTTCTTAGCAGATTTCTGAAATGATAAAACTGAAATATTTTATGCTGCAGCAGAACATCTAAAAGGCTCCTGGGCCAGGGTTAAAAAAGTTTTAATTTCAATTTCTATAGTCTTTTGTGTCAATTTGCTTGCATCCTTTGTTAAAAGATACACGGTGGTGTTTCAGCATTTATAGTTTCAAAATGTTACATTATAATATATTAATATGCAGGTATTCAAACCATATTCAACCATATTCAACCACAGAAAAAATATTTTTGAATATTGTGGAAGTTTTACATTAAGATTTCATAGCAAGAGTATATCGGATCATTACTGGAGAAGCATGAGGTCAATGATACAGATTGTTACCATTGTCATATCGATACCCTTTACACCGATAAAAAAAACATTGCTTTCAATAGATACACAGAGGGCTGGTACCCACAAGCTGTACTTTTCTGATTACCGCAGTCAACCCAGCTGTATAACTGGGTATCAGTGTGCTCTGAATGCTCTTAAGAGTAAAGAAACCAGAGTGAGCTCCAGCCCCATGAACCAATGGAGCTTATGAATGATTTTAACAGAATATCTACAGCCTACATCTTAAGGAAACATAACCTATTACAATTGTCTAATTGTTTCTCTTTTAAGGGCCGCCCTGGACCAAAAGGTGACCCTGGTGATTCAGGACTACCTGGGCGCCAAGTAAGCTCTGCTTTCAATTACAGCTTGTACTGTGTTGTTTCAAAGGAAACTGAAGATAGTCCTTAGTGTGCAATACTAGCTACTGGTTTGGAAACATTCCACTTGGCAAGCTTAAGACACTATTCCATAGGGGAAAGAATCATGAGTAGCTAAAACTACAAGTAAGTTATATTTATTTATATCTGTTTCCATCAAATTGTACTGTTAATGTATCATTCACATTTTAGTTATTACTTTAATTGAGCGACTAGGGGCAAATATAAAATTAAGGAATGCAACTAGATGGTGGGAAGATCATGCACAAGATCAGGTTACTTGGAACTGGGACTGTTTTTTTCTACCTTTTGCAAGTTGATTTTTAAAAAAAAATAAAAATTCTACAGTGGAAATCTGAATGCATGTTAGGGGAAGCAGGGTATATGGTTATATGCCAGGCATTGAGTAAATAGCCTTTGTTGCTAATTAGTAGAATTAGTCACGTCCAGAAAATAAATATATAAACGTGAGAGTTGGAACCTGTAAACAGGAAGGGATTTTAACTAGATCAGAAAGAACCATTGTTACTGTTATACACTGTATATATATTGATATGCTATCATTCATTTAATATGGACCTTGTGCTAGACCAGTTGACTCAGACTGTGGACAGTGAGCAAACAAAACTATGCCTATCCTAACCAAGAAGAAATCATGAGGATGGATTGTTCCTCAAAGTAAAAAGCAGCACCAGCTGTTCAGCTCAGGACGCAAGAAACCCTGGGTTGATGCAGTGGTGTAGCGATAGCTTTGATGCCATGGATGTGCACCTCCTAATAACATCAAAACCCAGTTTGGAAAACATCTGGGAGTTCCTGCTAGGCCATGGGTACAGTTAAGGTGTCATGTGATTAGGGTTTGGTTGGATTGAAGGATTGGATTAAGGTAATGATTCAAAAACAGGAGAAGTTGATGAAATTTTTATAAGAATTAGGGTCAGGGTTAAGGACAGGCCTGACGTTTAAGATACAAATTAGGTTTAAAGTAAGGGTCTGGGTGAAAGAAGATATCAAGTGTTTTGCTTTTGGCTGAGCTTCCCGAGCAGCTCAAATGATAAAAACATATGCTTGAGCACTAGCTGAGCTCTACAAACACTGAACACGTGTTTGAGCCTGAGTCCGGTCACTAGCACTGTGTCTGTAATTCCCCAAGATGCAATACATAATTAGCCAAGCACCACAGAGGGTAGAGTGGGATTAGTTGGCCAGGGCTCTTTTAGCTCTTAGCTGGCCTCCCAGGCACTTGCCGGCTACTGGTGCCGTCAGTGAGGGAAGTGGCTCTCCTCCAGTTGGTACTGCACCTCCTGTGTGGGGACGTGCTGCCTATGATGTGTTATAAGATGAGCAGCTCAAAGGTGGGTTTTCCGTGTGGTCACAGGGTTCTTGGCTGCGGGTCAAGATGCCAAAAACACACACATACACAATCAGCTGTTCCAAATCGTTCTTGTAAAGAAAAGTTATTATAATAGCAGAAAACACCAGCGCCTTTGAGTAAAATGTGGATGCTTGTAACTTTGTAACTTGTGTGGTTATGTACCTTTGCATGTACTGTAGGTCGTAGGTAGAAAAGTATCTTTGTAGCATAGGTTATGAATGCAAAATAATCTGGTCCTTATAACTGTTGTCTGGCTGCTTTCCTAGGGACCTCCAGGATCACCTGGCCCGATAGGTCCTGTTGGTCCAATTGGTGGAAGGGTGAGTTACGCTTTTCTCAGTATATGCTACAGTATGTAGTATTTTCAGAACCGCGAAATCACTTGTTTTCTGTATGAACCAGTTTGTGCTTTTTACTATTTCTAGATTTCTCCTGAAAAAGCAATCTTATTTAGGAAAGAATTTTTAGATCATACGTACGGTAGTTAGTTTATTGTCCCCATGTGAGAAGTAATAAGGATACCTGATATGCTGCTGCATTTTACTTTTTGGGTGGTCTTCTCCTGGCTGAAACTGAGGAAATGAAGAACTTGCCATTAACTTAATGAATGTGATTAGCACTACAACATGCTTCAGGTTATCAGAAGGAACATGAGAAGGCTTCTAAAATGAAAGAAATAGCAAGCAATTCCAGAAGAACTGAAACTGCCTTTAGAGAATTTGAGTGTTCAGCACTTGTAGTATGGTATGAAAATATAACAGAGCAAAAAAATTTATTTGTATTTATAAAGCATCTTTCCAAACCTAAGGCCGCTGATAATTCCACATCTTTAAATGTCTATGTACACTAATGATGTGCTCAATATTATAAGAATGGCAATTAAAATCAGTATAGATTCATCCAGTGATTAGTGTTTATGTCCTCAGTAAGAAACATTGATACTTCATCAGTTTTCATCAAATCTAATTAAAACTGTATTATGTTTTTTTTTAATACAGTTATATACCTAGTTAGATGTATAAATCTAACTGTTCTCCTAAGGATAGCTGTGAACATAAATATTTAAATGAGTGTTCTCCCCTGTGATAAAACAATTCCATAAATTTAGCAGATGTACATAATGTGCTAAACAGATTGCTTTTAACTCCTTTTCTTTGACATTTTATTGAGTTCTTCAATCATTTAGTTTTTATTTTATTTACATTTTCCTTATAGGGACCCCCAGGAAAAGAAGGACCTGCAGGACCCAGGGGTCCTCCTGGACCAATGGTATGTATTTTTGTAAGGCAAAGTACTTTAATCTAAGGAGATTACTTCTATTGAGAGAGCTGTCGGTTTAAAACATCTGTACACATTCATTTCACACCACCAGCATTAAGCCTGAATATCAATGTCTATTTTACTAGCTTGCATAGCCTTGGGCCAGTTTAGTTCTAATCCCCAAATTGTGAATCGATGATGGATTCACAAAAAAAACGGAAACACCAGGGGGAAATGCAGGACACCAAGGCTTCAAGTGTGGCTCATGTTAATTAGGCAAAATTAGGCAAATACTATCTCACCATGCCTAGGTGTCTAATAGGTGTATATAGTCATGGTTGTGTATACTGTAATTAAGGCTAGGATTGCTACAAGAAGAGACCTCAGTGACATTGAAAGAGAGGTTATTGTTCAGGCCCATGTGGCAGAAGCTTTAGTGACCAAAACTGTTCAACATTTTATATGCAGCAAGGATGAAGGTGATGTCAATGTGGAACCACAAGGAAAGTTATCATCTGCCAAGGGTAAATAGTGGGTAGAAGCACATGCTCCAGAATTGTGATGTCCGTGCATTAGTTCAAAGTTCATGGCAAAACTGGCGAGCTACTGCAGAATTTTGTTTAATCAAAAATGGTTCCCGAAAACTCCACAGAACAGGATAACATTGTCGGGTTGCAGTACAAAACCGCTCATCACACTTGGCACTGCACGTTTACTTGTCCAGGGGTGCAAAGAGCACAGATGGTGGGCTACCAAGCATCAGAGAAATGTGAAGGCACACAATTTAATGACCTCTGCTATGAATGGGTGTACTTGAGTTGGCAACTTTACATTTTTTGTTATGTACTATAATAGTGACCCCTGTGACTTACTGGGTGTTAGTGAGCTTGCCCGTGATCCTTCAGTCAGTACCAACTCTTCTGTTGGCACATAAGTCTGATAACTCTCACTACAGTATACAGTATGTACATTTTCTGAAAGAAAGTATACAGTTGCCATTGTTTCTTTATTGGTAAAAGGCTTTTTTGTTTCCAGCCGTAAGCAGTGTTCACTATATGGAATTTTGAAATCCATTTCTGGAGTAGACACGACCCCATAGTCTATTTTGCAGTCAGTATCGCCAATTTGATCAGCCCAGGTCATTTTTAAATATCACTTAAGAGAGACCATAAGACAGAGACACAATTTTTTATCTACTTTTGTCCTGCCAACATCAAGAATATAAAGCCATTTTATTTGCTGTATAGGGAGCACCAGGGACTCCTGGAATGCCTGGACAAACTGGACAACCAGGGAAACCAGGAGACACAGGACAACGGGTAAGTGTATCTTTCATTATTATGTCAAATAAGAATGGTTTAACTCAATCTTTCAGTTTAACATAAAATATTTAGGTGCAGTGAAACATTTGCCAATACAACTAACTATCTTGGAAACTAGACATTTAAGGAGCCAATGGAAATGTCATATAATCTGGTTCTAAATTAAAAACATGCTAAGCGTGAGCATAGCTATTTCTACTGATTGATTTTTAAGATGTAGAAATTATGACTTTGAACATTTTTTCTGTGTTGCAAAAGATTTAGTGTTTTTCTATATTTCATTTTGTTACATTTGAGTACTTTATCTTAGAAGATAAATGCGGCCTCCAAGAATCTGCCAAGATGTCATGTCTTGTCGTTCTCTTTCCTCTTCTTCACGAAGGGTGGATTGCAAACTATAGCGCTTTGGTGTCAACAAAAGAATAGATACAGGCCTTTTCTTGATAATGTCTAGACTTGAAAACATCTGATTGGTTACACAAATCAGTGGTGAATGGTAATCTGAGAGCTGGTTTACTCCACCATCAATGTGCAGCCAGTTCTGTACTGTGCCTAAGAGTTTTCCGACAGTTGGCATAGCCAAAATTTGAACGGACATTTTCTTGGCTGCTGGAATCATGCAGTAAAAAGCCTCCCTAGGAAAACTTCATGCTCCGGAAATGTTTTAGAAACAAATCATTTGCCACTTACTGCAGGATTTGAAACAAAACTAAAAAACTAGCATGACATGTCCTGTTATGCTGGTACCAAGGTACCAAATTGTAGGGTAATTATTAACTTTTATACCTGATTAGGGTAATATTGCTACAGCTATGTCATAGGGAGTGTATTAATAATATGTTTGTTTAAACTGACAGGGGGGCAGGAAGTTGGTGGTATATTTTACATTCACATGATCCCTTGAAATAATGGTTAATATCTTCTTGGGATCTTGAATGCTCTTTTTGACAACAATATCATCATCTTTAGACATAGCAATTCTGAAATACTCCATTTTTTTTTGCTTACAATTTCTCATTTTGTTTCAAAACTTTCCAGGCAAGCAATTGTACATAGCAGGGAAATATGCCAATTTCCACAATTAAGGGAAATTAAATAGATATCATATTGTGTCTTAAGTTGAGATTTTATCCCAAATGATTCATGGTAAAAAGACACATGCCATTTGCTGCAGTGCAAAATTAAATATATAGGTAGTGAAGTTTACAAAAATCCCAACGTTTATGTCTGTTTTGCACAGTGAAATGCAACATGGGTAGCACAGCTACAGTACCTCACAACTCCGGTGTCCTGGGTTTGATCTGAGCCTCAGGCATCTGTATACTGTATGAGGTGTTTGCTATTTTTCACTGCATTTTCAAGATATTCTGGTTAGGTTTGATTGGCTAAGTTGTCACTTCCACCATTGTGCTTCAATGGATTAGCATCCCTTCTAGAGGTAAAGCAGTTGTGTTATCACAGTGCCCTGCTTCTGAGATAGGCTGTAGGTTGTTGCAGTCCTGTCTATGATGAGACAGTTTTCTAATACCGAAGTTTGAATGTATCTGCAGACAACCCATTATACATAGCCTGGAAAAACTAAATAACAAATGTCCAGTTATGGGACTGAGTGGCTCAGGTGGTCTGACCCTTGTACTAATATTGCTGAGGTTTTGGGCTGGTTTCCTGCTTGTTCCTTATGAGAAAAGGAACTTGCAACTGGATTTATTTTGTACCAGTCAATAGAGTGGATTGTCTTTTGAAAGGATTAGGACCCAGTGGTTGTGGAACATAAATGCCTGTCCAATCCTACAAAAAAAAACAAAATCAGTTTAGTAACTGCAGGTTCTGAACAAAAGCAAGAGCTCTACATCCTTAAAGGATTGGTATAAGAGGCAGTAAAACGATGATCTCCAACTCCTTCCTTGGAGATCCCCAGTCCTTCAGCTTTTTTACTTCAATACATGTTCAACAAGTGGCTCAAGAGCACAGATTAAGACAATAACAGGTTAAATTTACTAATGAAGAGCTTGATTTATTTGAAATAAGGAGATTGGCTCTAAAGGGTAGGGATAGAAAGCCCATTCATAGAGGAGTAGTTTTCAGCTTTAAGGAAGCTAACCATAGAAGGAATTTGCAAAAGGGAAAATTAAGCAAACAATAGAAACAGGGCTAAATGTTAAAAACTGTGACATAACTCATAAATTCACATTGGAACCCCATGTGCATTCCTAGATTGTTTAGTCTATTTTATTTTATTGGTGTCTCTGCTTATACTGTATTTGTGTGATGTTCTCTCAAGATATTAGTGACCTTTAATAGCAATTTAGTCCACCTCCAATGGTGATTTCAGCCGCAGTGTTTCAAAGCACCAGCTCTGCTAGATGTTCACAATTGGGCATGTTGCTATGAGGCCACATGGTGGTATTCTCACAAGATGTGAAATTTCCCTTCTTTCACTTTGCTTCTCTGACTTCTTGAAACCTCAAGTGCACTTCCATTTGTTTGCACCAGCTGCCTTTGAGGGCTTGATGTGTCTGAATTGACACGTTTGTCAGTTCTGCAGTTTCCATCATTAAAGTTCCTATGGCACTTTTTGAAAGAGTAGAAGTGTTAACCTCGGTGTCCTGGCGCAATTCTTGTCTGGGTCTGTACGATTTGGCCTTTTTAAATTTCCGCATTAATTCACTTGTTGAAACAATTTCTCACCACTCCCCTTGATCTGCTGTGTAATGTGGCTGCTTCATCCACTTTGGATAGAATTTGCTACATTAATGCAAGTGTTTACAGAGTTAATTTATGTATCAGTGCACAAAAAACTCATATACCTCCAACAGTAGTCAGGGGTCTCTTACATCAGCCTTTTTTCTTATAGCACAGTACACTGATTAACAGACTTGACCTGTTGCTTCTTGACAGCTTCAGGCATCAGGGTATACTGCTCTGTTTCTACACAATAGGTCACTTTTATGGAACATATAATTCCCTAATATTTTGGTAGGGCTGTGTACCACCAAATAGCAATAACCTGTCCCTTCAATTTACATATTAAGACAGGAACAAAATAAAATGCTGTGTGCTATTTATGTTGGATGGTTTGCAGGGGTCTGAGGCTTCCATATTATAAACCAAGTGGAATTAGGTAATGCAAATATTGCCCTTTCCAGGATGCACTGGTACCTGACAAATAACTTTGAGCCACATTGACCAGTTTTCTTATTAATTCAATGACAAATTACATTATTATTTCTGTTTTTTTTTCATTACAGGGGCCAGCTGGTATGAAAGGAGAAAAGGGGGAGAGAGTAAGTGTAATTCTTTTAAAGATATGTTTCCCTTGTTCTTGAGCAGAAGGGGATATAACTTCATCCTAATGAAATATTGTTTCTTGCAGGGAGACTTTGCATCCCAGAATATGATGCGTTCAATTGCCAGACAAGTCTGCGAACAGCTGGTGAACGGTTAGTTCCCACTTTTCCAGCTTCTTGCATTAATTTAGGGGATTCTGTAAAAACCTTGAGGGTTGTCCCAAAGTAAATCCGCTTTGACGTCCTAAAAGGAATTGCAAATGGGTTATTAAGCCCTCTTGCGTCTCTTTTTACTTCAGGTCAAATGAGCAGGATTGACACGATGTTAAACCAAATCCCCAACGGGTACTATTCCAACCGCAACAATCCCGGTCCTCCTGGGCCACCTGGGCCCCCTGGCAGCTCTGGTCCTCGCGGTGAACAAGGGCCAACAGGGAGTAACGGCTTCCCAGGCTCCCCCGGGCTACCAGGCCGTCCCGGAGACAGAGGTGGGTGAGATCTCCCAATATACAGATCAGGCGCTGCCTCAGCGAAGCCACCGGCACTGTGGCCAGCGCACAGGTTAGTCACAGAGCCTTCTCCGGGTGTGTATGGCAGAGAGTGCAATGGCAGAGGTACAGTATGGGAGCAAGAGGTGGGGGAGTGCAGGCAAGAGAGAAGAGATCTTTCTGCCGTGCCTCTGCTGTCTCCCTCACTTGAAGAAGGCTCTGCGTCCGAAACATCGTGTTTTACTCCTTTCCACAGCAATTCCAGACCCCCTCCATTTGACACCGCTTTAGTAAAACTAACCTCTGCCTCTTTCGACTGTGTTCTGTGCTTCACGCAGGACCCGCAGGAGAGAAGGGTGAAAGAGGCAGTCCTGGAATAGGATCCCAGGGACAAAGAGGTTTAACCGGACCACCTGGTATGTGTTACAGAACCAACTGCCAAATGACAATTGTTTCTCCCCTTATTAGTGTTCAATGAAGCCAGAAGCATAATGTTCCCTTTTACCCAATGCTTACAACAGCTGGCACCGAAATGGCCTTTCTGTTGACAGTAATCTCCATTAACACACACCTTATTTACCCTGCAGTGCCTGAAGAGTAGAGGGAGATGACAACTTGAGGAAAGTCTAATTGTTCTCACAGCAGCTTTTAAAGAAACATTGTGCTAACACTAACTTAGATCTGTTGATGTGATGTAAAATCGGTACAAGCCAGTGACAGACCCCAGAATGTGGAAAAATATATAGGTCTCGATGCAGATTTTTCATAACGTGTTTTCTAATATCTGTACTATAAATAACAGTATACAACTCTGAGCCAAATCATTCAACAAAGTATAAAACTTTGCTAAAATTCGAAAAAAATATGTAATTAATAGAATCTTTAAAAAGTGCAACTGGACCAAAAATCTGTACAAGAACAATCATACTAGTGAAAGTTTTTCCTTGTTATGAATTAATGTGGTTCATGCGTGAGATTCACCTCCACACACAGATGCTCACAGATGTTTCGATTTTTTTACGGGGGTCAAATTCATTGTTAATTGGAAGCATATTAAAGACGTCTGGACAGTTCTGATTGGCTGGAGCTGTCAGAAAAAACAACACCTGATTTTGACTGAAACTCAAAATAGCACCAATGTTATTATGGCAAAAATGTTACATTTAGTAATTGAGTATAAAATAGATCAACCAAATTAATCAATACAGATGTTTTTGTGTGTACAGTAGGTATGTAATTGGTATTGACAAATAACCATAACCGACAATACCATCTTTTATTCTTTTTTTTTGCAATTGGTTTTGTAATTAACCCCTGAGCACTCTTATATAACAGATTTTGATTTTATTTTTTAATCTTTTTATTAAGCTATCATAAGCATTGGAACTCAGCGCTTCTTGTTAGAAAAAGCTCTTTGTTACTTATTCAAATTTACTAAGAGGAGATTTTTCGTAGTTGAACAATGGACCACTCTCCTTTTTTTTTCATTTTCCTGTCATGTGATCATTTACAGTTCTGCTGGCAACAATACTGTTCTTTTTCTTGGAGATAATTTTTAGTCTTACTTTTTTTTTTATTGGAGACACCATACGGAATTTACATTAGATTTTAACCACCAGCAGAAAAGGCTTTACATTTCTGTAAACTATAATGTAGCCTGTCCAACAAAAGCATTACTTCACCCACCCAGGGGGCTTGGGGTAGCAGAACTAACACAGTCATTCACTTTAATTGTAATACAGTGTGCTTGTCTAAAGCACTAGGTCTCAAGAGCTTTTCCTATCACACAAGGATTAGAAAAAAAACATGCAACTCATTGATGTCTACAGCATGGGTCAAACATAGCCAGGTCTGTTTCTGTGAATAAAGAGAAATTGCCTACAAGTAGGGGAAGCTAGTGATGATGAGTCATTGTTCAGAGGCTAATCAGATTGTTGTACAATGAGATTTTTTCTGGTGGCTTCATTGACAACACATGTGCGGATTTTAGAAAGAGAGAGAAAAAATTCCATAGTAGGTTTATATCGTCTAGACGGAAAAGGGAAAAAAAAGTGCCAGTAACTCAGCAGAGCATAGCTCTCTTTATTCTTAATTGAACAGTTTAAATATTTAAATTACAGTGGCACAACCCAATTTTTCCCTTCTCCGTTCAGTTGGGATTTGAGGGTGATGTCAGTTGGTGAGAACTGTTTGTCTGCAACCCGCCAGGCCCGCCGGGAGATTCCCGAACTGGCCCGCCAGGCCCTCAAGGCTCTCCTGGACCTCGTGGTCCACCTGGTCGCCAGGGTTCTGCGGGAGTGAGAGGCCCGCCCGGACCCCCTGGGTACTGTGATTCCTCGCAGTGCGTTGGCATCCCTTACAATGGACAAGGATTCCCAGGTAGGTTCGACAATCCATGACCACTGCAGCCACCAATACAGCAGGGACTGCTCAGCTCTAGGAAGTTGAATTGTTTCAGCAACATTAAAATTTAATACAGGAATGTCTTGATGTGACCTAGACAATTCAGGTCTGTACCAGTAATGGCATTTCGTACTAGTTTTTATACTAGTTTTTATTGTTTGTTGTGCTATGTGTAACATATATGATATACTTATGCACTGTTTAATTAGTGTGATCTGCTCTAGAAGTACTTAAGGTATTTTTTCCTCACCTCTTTTTTTTTTTTAAAAAGAAGAAAAATACTTCTTTCCTGAAAACTAACATCCTCTTTAACCTGTTTCAGGTTCGGCATAGTAATTTTCTAAGTCGCCTGTGCTGCTTACATTTTGAAATCCTGAAAGTCCTGTTTCTGAGATACTTGCTCACGTGCTTATGAGCCTTTAAGGATAATCACCGTGGATATGATTACTGAACATTGTTGACCGTCGTAAAGGAGGGGACTCTTACTAATAACACTTTTCAGCTACTAGATCAGACAAGCAACAGTGATGGCATCATAGCAAGCCTGTTTGCATCTTGAATCAATAAAACCAACAGAAAGAAGCTTCTTTCAGCAAAGGAGCATGCTGACCTACTAACAAGGTGGATTTATAACCAAGAACAAAAGTGTTAACATGACAATGTAGAAATGATATCTGTAAATAAACTAATTGTGCCTTGTAAAGGATTCGATTTGAATCACGTTCACTAAAATCAGTTAACATCTTTAATGAGCTTCTGCATTATAACCGGCTGCTTGCTGAATGCCAACATAACCTCCTTTTGTTTTTGCCTACCTTGATTGACACAGGCTCTGCTCAGGTCCAGAATAAAGCACGTGCCATTTGTACACATAGCCTAGGAGTTTCTCTGCGTTTACAGAACGAATGCTGAAAGTATTTTTTTCCCAATTATTTTTCTTCTGTTTTTGCTGTAGTCAGTGTGCTCCCCCAGCACCAGCTGTACCTCAGTATGTTTTGAGGAATAGCAACCAGAATGCTAAATGTAAAGAAAAGGCTGGTGATGGAAAGCTTACTTGATATTTTTTAAAAAATAAAGACAAAGCTCTTCAGAGGAACATAATATAATGCCACAAGCCTGGCATGCACTCCTTTAATCACTATGGCACGTACTTGTACTTAAACAGTATGTTACCACATTATATTTTATATTTCTATAATATACAGTATGTATCTTTTTAAGAACAATATCCCTTAATTGTACTGTTAATTTTGAACTAAACGTACAGTAACTATATAATGTTTTCATATGTTAAGTTGTCAGAAAATCAGAAAAAAATACTTAAATGTTTACAAATACAGTACATGTATTATCTCTGCCTTTGAAATAAGCTACAACGTGTTTATAACATTCGTGGAACCTGGTAGTTAACCATTGACTATTCATGTCTGCATTGTCATGACTACAGCTCTTGTGCAGTGTTCGGAAAATACAATAATTACTCTTTGTGCATGTGGAGTCGAAAACTGCAGATGATGTTTATGTTCAATTGGCCAAAAAATATTTCCAACCAGAACCTTACCCGCCTGAACACGAAACCTACGTAGTCCCAGTAATTCCAGTGGAGCAGCCTGAAGAAACAGAATTACAGTCATCCGGTTACACACGAAACCAGCGTGGAAAGAGATCACTCTCAAGCAAGAATCCCCAGAGCAGGTCATCCTAAAACAAAAGAGGGTTAGTTAAGTTGTTGTTTTTTTTACAAAATTATTTGCTATTTTCACAAATGCTAGCATTAACACAACCTTGCTTGAAATTTCTAAGGGTTTCATACTCTTCTTTCATTTGATATACCCTTGTGTGTGTGAATATAGCAAAAACTGGGGGGGGGAAGGACAAAGTATAAAACGCCCACATATTATTTCATAAAACCCTGTGAGCTTGCTATCTGTTCCCATCAGTGTCTTTGCTTGTAATATAACTGCTTTGTTTGCTAAAGAGTCTAATTCTTAATGCACTCATCATGCCAGGTTCAGCATTTGAAAACATCCTATAAGAGCAAAATGTATGTTCGCAGCATGAGGGTAATCATCAATAAGCGACATGGATCCTTCCACATTTGTAAGAGTTCTGACAGTTCACCGCAAATGACTGATTGTAATGATGTTTGTTGATGTACTGCAATCATAGATTTTGCCTCTTTCACTGTCATTGCAAAAGAGGACAGTTTGTACAAGATCTACCTACAGTTCACCAAACTTCAATACTCGAATTAAACATGACTTCAAGATGGTTATTTTAAACTAAATATTTAACAGTTTTATTATACCAACTCACAGCTGATTTTACCAAAGGTGGAATTGCATGTCTGTGTTGTATATTTACTATGGATTTTTTTTTATCAGAATATAGTTTTGTTTTAATGTTTTTTTCCCATAATATTCAATGCAGTTGGAATTTGTTTGCAAGACTATGGCTATAGAATTGTTGCTTTCATGTTTTTAACTGCAAATTGTGAATTTCACGGCCTTATTTTCTTATTTATTTCTGAAACAGAAGAGGCATTTTTCAATAAAACTACTGAAAATGTACCACGTGTGTCCAGTGTCTTTTCTTAAAGTTTTATATCTACATTATTAATAATATGACTTAATAAAACAAAAAGACAAAAAGACTATCATAAAACTGGGAGCGTAAGATACGTCCAAAACAAAATGAAATAGTAAGCACTAAAACATTAAACAATTTTAGACAGTTTGATTACAAAAGAGTAATGAGAACCTCTGGATGGTTCCATGATTACAGTGAATTGTTGCTATTTGCAAAATGCATTACCAGTTTGAAGATTAAATCCTTAGTGCAATGCAGTGTTACTTAAAACGGTTTGAGATGAGAGTTCACAGGCACTGTGTAGAACAGATTAGTCTTCTGAGCTGAATGATGACTGGGGACTGAGCAGTTTTTATTTCTGTGAAAAAAATCATTCTACCAAGCAGGTGAGATGGTAGAGAATGAATGTGTTGCATAACAGGGCAAACTATGAAGCTATCTTTTGCATGCAAATGTTAATTCCATATACAGTATGTTTAATTCTATCAGTGTAAGGAAAATTCAGCCTTATGGGTTGAATTGTTTTAACAAACGAGTTAAAGAAAGGGGTATGGGCCCAGTGTTTAAAATAAAATGCTGCACAGTTCCTTTATATTTTGTGGTTTGGATAACATCAAGGTTTAGAAAGTCCAAATTATGTACAAATGTAAAAAAAAAAACCATTTAATACAGACATATATTAAGCAATTTCAAAATATATTAAGCTATTCTGGGGCATATCCAAACACAAATAGTGGCTCAGTTATCGTAACTACAGTGTGGCAGTCTCTCTACATAGGCTCATTGACCAGTATATATTGATATTAAGTGCTCAAAATAAGTCCAATTCTATTAAATCACTAGTTTAAATTATTCACATAACCCCTGTGATAATACAATCATCATATTAATGTGACATTGCATTAGTTAGCAGCACTGTGGAGCAGTGGTTAGGACTCGAATACCAAAAAGGACAATGTTTCAGCATTGCTAGCGCAGAAAATGCCCTGCTACACAATGGGTCAAATGGGTCTAGATCATCATTGTACATGAAAATCTGTTTTCAATTGACTTATCATGGTTAGATAAAATATCAAATTGAACAAAAATAACGACACTAAATGAATGAGTTAACAATGGTGAGATGGATAAACATGAATTACCTTTGAACTTTTTTAATAAATTGCAGTGAACAGAGAATCTTTTGGTTACTGTTGTTAGAGATCTGCTAAAAGATCACGAAATAAGGAAAGGAAGAGTTGTTGCCAGACGTGAAGTCTTATGGTTGCAAGAGAGGAAAATACTTAATGGATGATGCTGCATCACAGCTTCCTAAGCTTAAAATATATATATATACAGGTATATAGTATAAGTGCAAAGGAACAAGTAATAGGTTTATTCCATGCTGAAAAAAAGAAGAAAGAGAACACAACGTTTCGGCCGTGGAGCCTTCTTCAGGTGTCAAGTATAGTATAAGTGTCTGGTCGATTGCTTTCCGTTAAAAATCCTAAATGAAGATGTGATTAATTATCAACTAACTTGAGCTTTCCGTTGGAGGCATAATGACTACTTTAATTAGGAAAATGTTCAAGCTCTTTGGAACTATTGTAATGTTCAGAGCCCATACTCAAATAGGTTAAAGAGATAAGATTTAGAGGTATTCTCTTACATAGAACATACATTAGACTCTGTGTGATGTACAGTAGTTCAGGGGTTCCAAATGCTATTTCTGGAGGCCAAAAAAAAACCGTGGTTTTCATTCCAGCCAAGTTTAATTAACTAATTGAAGCCTTAACTGAGCTAACAATTTGCTTGATTGGAATATTTGAAAAGTGTTTTCCCCCATTTTAGGATTTTAATTTACTTGTGAAATGCATCGTTTAAAAAAAAAAAAGCAACCTGATGTTCAAGATCTGAAAACATCCACACAAGTTCAGCTGTGTAACTGAGAGCTCGGTTGGAACAGGCCTGTGGGCTTCTTTGACCAGGTTTGGGAACCTTGATGTAGCCAATGGTGGATAATGGAGAGTGAACAGGTCAAGGGTGCAATTTTAGGCTTTCAATACCAGTCCATCTCATGAGGAGCACATCTTTCGTGGCGTTTCTCCAGATTTCCAGCTCTGACTTGTCCCTTTTTATATGATTTGAAATATCCAGTCCCATTGTTAATCCTGCCCTGTTATTGTTCAGCTGGTTTGTACACCTTACATTAAAACGTGCCGTGTTGGGGGGTCAATCCTCAGACATTTCGTTGATGTATCTTTGCTTCTTCACACACAAGGGTTTTTTTTGAGAAAATGCTCTGGGTTTAAACTACAGGTGTTTGGGGTTAAGCATTGTGAGGTTTCTATTTCTGTAGCTGGAATGCTTGAGTTTTCCTCATATCCTTCATACCAAGCAAGGTATGTTACAACATACCAGGGTACCATGGTACAAACCAGGAAAGGTCACTCTGGTCATATAGCCAGTTTGGTAGTACCATAGTCACATGTTCCAGGGACCTCATCCTGGCAAGTCATGAAAGAAATTCACATCAACAACAAGAATGGATAGCTTTCTCCATGCTTCCACAACCCAAATTACGTCTTATTGATATCATTATATAAATAAGTTATTATTGTTATACTGCAGTTTCTGTTCGAAAAAAGCTGCAGTGAGGTGTACTGCCAGCAGTGAACACCGAGTGTGCTGCCAGTGAGAGAAAACTTGCTCAGAAGCTGCGTAGCTCTGTGTCAGAGCCCTGACACCACAGAGCGAGTTGCCTAAAATAGGCAGCTTATTAAAATGATTGAGATAAAATTTTGGTCTAATTGACAAGCATCCCGACTTCACCTGCAGGGGCTCAGCACATGTTGAGAGCTCATGCAAATGCAGAAGTTGCGCCTGGCAACCACAGGACGCTGTTCGGTATACCTGCTAGTTCTCTTGCACAACTTACCGGAACACCTTGCTTTTCCCTGACCAGCCCCAGCCTTGTTTAGCAGCTGAGAGTCAACAAAAATCACCCCCAAGATGGTACTTTTGTCAGCTAAATTAGAATTAATAATTTAATGAATAAATTAACCTTAATTTGTTTGTTCATGTTTTCTAATGAAAAGCATTAGAATATGATGAAAAGCAACTTTTGAACAGATTTTATAATGGGCATGACAAGACCAGTTAAATTGGTTGAATCAAGTCGGTTAATTTGGTTTGTAAAATCTAGGAAAAGACCTTGATTTTGACACACGACAACTACAGCAGGAGAGTGCAATAGAGCCTCTTTGGAGTCTGCATTTTGCATTCCACGGTTGAACTGCCTTGCTTGTCACACCTCGCTGACCCTTTCTTCGGTCGTTAGAATTTCTTAGATCTTTAGATCTAGACCAAAGACCATTTGTTGCAGAGCCTCGGGTTGGGAGGGGGCTGTCGGATATCCATCCGATCACAGCCAAAGCAGCCTGATGACTGCTGGTTCTGGCCTACACCCTTGCGGCTGCAAGCTTCCTGGGACGCCTGATGTGGGTGTTCCTAGAAAAACAACCTGCAGGTGGTATGACCAGTGAATTGGTCATTGCAACCCTCTTCTTGTTTAGTTTTTTATGCGTAAGTACGGCAGCAATCTAAGAATATGAGATATCTACCTTGACAGGACACTAGCAGTTCAGGTGGGTAGCTACGTCAGCATGCGTAGGCTGCAAAGGAACAAGTAGTAGGTTTAAAGAAGAAAGCACAACGTTTCGGCTGTGGAGCCTTCTTCAGGTGTGAGAAAGACAGGGCAGTGATAATAGGACACTATATGAGGGGAAAATAGGGCAATTAATAGAACACTATATGAGGAACTATTGATACTTATTAGCAGATTGGGTTCAGACAGCCTTGTAAATCACTGAGGGACATTTAGATTTGTACAGCCCCTAAAATGGACTCAAAAACAACTTTCCCCCTTTTTCACTGTATCCTGCAGTCCACCACAATGAGATGCCTGCTATCTGCAAACGTTGTCATGTCTGTATTAAGATCATGTCATTAAGATCATACTGCACAACTGGATAAGTTTTTTTTATATATATATACACACACTGCTTTCCCAGGCTTACTGCAGTCTGTCTATATCCTCTTTTTACTTCAGTTTAGATAATCATTAGCCGTTTTTGTTAGTCAAGTGCAAGGCACGACCCAAACTAAATAGTCGACCAGTTTGCCAATGAAGCACATTAATACTGAACAAGTTCATTGGCAACCATTGGGAACTTAAGCATAAGCATTGCTGATTGAGTCTTTCCACAATATTTTTATGGAAAATGTAGCCTGGAAAATAGCAGCACTGATACACTATAAATCATATGCTGTACAAAAGCACCAATTGGCTGAGCGCCACTGAGGCTGGGGTGGGATTAAATTGACTCTCAGCGATACAGCAAGTGTTCTGTGGTCTCCAGGGCGCTTGCAGGCATGCGGTGCTGTTGGTGAGGGATACACCTCTCCTCCAGTTGGCGTTGAAGCTCCGGTACAGGGCTGTGCTGCCTGATGTGTGAAGAGACAAATGGCTCGGAGGTGAGAGGGCTGGAAGTGTCTGCCTGTGCTTGCTCATTCTCCCCTGCGTGCAGTCACACAGTGCAAGGTTTGTAGCTGTGAGCCAAGAGGTGGAACACACACAATTTGCCATCCCAAATTAAGTGGGTTTAATGAAATTAAAGAAGATTTTAAATTTCTAAAAAGTATATGAACATATTCCTGTCTTTATTTTGAGAATATCTTCATTCAGTCTCCCAGTACGGTACAGTATGTTCTATTTCCATCGTTTTTTAACATACTGTATGAAGGTGTTTCAATAAGGAAACAAGAGCTACTTTGTTGATGCGTTTATTCATATGAAGCTACAGATAGGAAGAATAGTAAAGCAGAAGTATTCATCACTTTCCCCCATCCCACTTTCTCCTAATTAGTAGGTATGATTATTTCATGATACCAGAATTTTGAATCCAGCAAATTTGA